TTTATTATTATAAAGAATTAATTATTAATTAATAATTTAAATTATAGATGAAATATCATTAAATGAAAATAATTTTAGTGATGAAAACTCTGATGATGATAATAAAACACAATTCTTATCTAGTATTATAATTGCAAAACTTAGAGAGATTATTTATAACACTTTATAGCACTATTGGCAAGATTCAGAACAAATTAAACTAATGGTCACTTTACTAGACTCATGATTAAAAGCAATGAATGGTTGGCCTACAGAGATATGAAAAGATACAATTAATAAGCTGTATACTGAATTTCAAATTTGGCAAAATACTATTAAAGCTGATGATATAGAAGTTCATCAAGAAGAAACTACTACTCTGCATTTTATAAGAAGAATTTTTTGTGCTAGTAATAGTAAACAAACAAATAATAAAACAAAAATTGATAATTATTTAAATAAAATAGTGATATTAGTTTTACCCAAATCTACTAATGTTTATGCTTGGTGGCATAAGAATTAGCATTCTTTTCCTATTTTAAGCAAAATAGCCTATAAATACATATTAATCCCTGCTACTTCAGTTTCTAATAAACTTTTTTTTTTTGATACAGAGAACCAAATCACTACTAAAAGAAGTTAGTTATCACCTGAAGTTATAAGTAAAATAATGTTTATTAAATATAATTCTTTGTACTATAAAATTTGAGAATAATTATTTTAATAAATAAAATATTTAGACAAATAAATTTATATTCACTAACCTTTATAACTTTTATGATCTAACTAATAATAATCTTAATCAAGTATAAATAATTCTTGATTTGTCATAATCAGTATGTAAAATTCAATGTTCTTAATATTCTCTGAGAACATAAAAATTTTAGATTATACTTATATAAGAACATAAAAAAATTATATAGATATTCTTGTAAAAACATAAAATTAAATTCAAATTTTATACTGGTCATAATCACTATTCTAATCTTTTTAACCATATGTATTTATTATAGAGACTAATTAATATACTAAATTTCTAGTTATGTTTGTTCTATTAACTACCCAAGATTTTTTTTTAAATTAACCCAGATGATCCAATGTTGTCAGACTCAGGTGATCTGACAGGTTACCTGTCAGGTCACTTGGCAGAAGCTTTACTTATTTGTGCTAGTAATACAAACCAAAAAAAAAAATGAAGTAAATTTAAAATTTATTAAATTTAGAGTTAGGGTTAGAATTAGAAAGAGTGCTATAGGTAAAATTACCTTCCCGATATTTTTTGTTAATATACAAAAGTAGATTTAGATTACTGTTTCTTGTATTTTCTTTATTTTTCTCTTTTTTTTATTTGTTTTGCTTTGTCGGGATAATCTGGAATACCTAAAATTTGTGTTCTCTAATTGGCTATTTTCTTTTTAGGGGTTTGTATTACTGGCACAAATAAGTAAAGCCCCTGGCGGGTGACCCAGGTGGTGCCTTTTTTTGGACTAACCTGTTCTACCCGGGTGGCACATTGTTAACCCGTCGGGTGACCCAGGTGAGGATTTTTTAGTCATTACGATCGACTGATATAGTACAGAATATGTCAATCAAATTCGTATATATCTCAATCAAATTCGTAACATTACACGAACTTTTATTTTGATCCATCTTTGATATCTCGCGATCTAGATATAGTACAGAATATGGGGTTGAGTCAACAGAAACCAAGCAAATCGAAATTTTTTCAAAATTGGGATTTTTTAATAAAATAACAGAAGCTAGTATGCTGATTATTTTTTAATTAATAATGAAGGTTAACTAACATAATAAAATTTTGAAATATTTCAGTTTTAAATTTTGCGCACGAAAACTTGTAATCCGGAAATCAAGTCAGAAATGTAAATCGATTTACCCAATTTTGTGTAACATGCTGGGTCAACAGAAATCAAGCAAATTTATTAGATAAATTTGCTTGATTTCTGTTGACCCAGCATGTTACACAAAGTCAAAAAATTATTAATTTGATCGGATCATATCGGATAGGGTCAGATATTGTTTACTTAGTGTGATACAAAAACGTGATTTTCTCAAAATTGGTGATTTACCGATTTGCTAGATTTCTGTTGACTCACCCTCATATGTAATAGTGCTATATATAGGCTATATGCCATAGTGTATATATATGACGTATGCTATAGTGCTATATATAGGACATGTGCCATAGTGCTATATACAAGGCATATGCTATAATGTTATATATAAGATATATTGGTATGCCATAATGCTATATATAAGATATATAAGACATATGCTGTAATGCTATATATATAATGTATAAGATATATACTATAATACTATATATAAGATATATGCTATAATACTATATATAAAACATAAGTCGTAATGCTATATATAAGATGTATGCCATAATACATATATTGCTGTATATACTAAATACTATAATATATATCATATATATCAGGTTTTATTTTCTCATTAAAAAAAAATAGTACACTCAACACAACTATTTTAATATTCTTTGTATAAACATGTGATAAATATATCTTTATTGCAAGAAAATTATTAATTTATATTAAAAATTGTTACAATAGCTCAAATTATATACTGTACGTATTAGTAACTTTTGATCTAATAAAGTATAAAACATGATTTTGTAAATTTTATTAAAATTTTATATATACAGAAATCATAATTTTTCACTATATAAATTTAAATAAACAAGATCTTAATTAAAAGAATCTTATTACTAAAATTCTATTTAGATAATAACTGACTTGTAATATTGCAAAAGCATTACTTATCTTGATAGCTATTTGATAATGCTTATTTTTATGTTCATCTTTTTAACTTCTATTCTCCATTATTATCATTTATATTAGCAAACTTAAGGTTAATAAAATGATATATATTCATTACTTTCAATTCTAATTCCCCAATTCCTTTATCATAATATAATGTGGTTTAAAAAAACAATCCATCTATGCAAATTTTTGATAAGATATATAAATACTTATTAGACAATTTTTTGATTTTCTCATTCTAAAAAACTATTTAGTACATTTTGAGGATCGTAATCCAAATCAGCAAGAGAAATAACTTGAGCCGTCTCTACTGGTTTAGAATTATTTTTAGTTGTCAAATCAACAATATTTTTAATTAGCAGAGTTGTAGAATTATTAGTATTAAATATTATATTATTTAATGAATTTGTTTTATCAAGTCTTATTTGGTTCTCTTCCTCACAATCCATTATATTAGCAACTGATGCAATATTACATGCATCTTAAAGATCTTTTTCTGTTAACTCTTTTCCAAAAAAACTTAACTTGTGTTGAATATTAGTTATATAATATTGTCTAATTTTAGCTATTCCTTTTAATTTATTTAAACTCAAGCCTATTTATCAGTCTCCCAAAATCTATTTTAGAGTTAAAAAGTTTCTTTCACATACTGCTTGTATAGGATTAATTGAAAATATCTTATATGCTAATTCAGGTAAATACTGGGGTTGATTTTTGAAAGAACTCCACCAAAGTTTTGAAGTATTTATACTAGCAATATAAGAAAGATTATATGGTAGCTATCGTGCCTCAAAATATTACAATTGTGTAACCAATTTTTTACCTTCTGATTAGATATGGCCAAGATTTTGCCAAAGCTTAATAGCAGTAAATGCAGCTATATAAAATCTATTATCATTTAAATGTTTTTCTAGAAATTAATAATTACATACTATAATGTACTTTATTGTATATATTATTTTAAAATTTTATCTCTATAGTCTGGATGAATATAATAGGCTAAAATATAAAGTGGATATAAAAATTCTTTATAACACTGATTAAAAATACGAATGGTTAGAATTTTAAAACTATTTATATCAGATAAGTTATTAATTTCTACAGCTAATTTAATCAGATAAATGAAGCAGTTAGCTAATGTTGCATTGTTAGCCTTCAACATATGAATAATTTCTTTAATAGGTTGCTATACCAAGCATACAAAACAACATGTAGTAAAAAAACTTTCTCTAGATATTAAATCACTAACTTCTTTATTAGTAATTGATTTACTATGATAAAAAAGCATCTAATAATAAAAGTTTATTAACAAATAATTTATAATTAATAATATTCTATTAAACTATTATTTACCTAATCAAATATGGGATATGCGCAAAACATCAAATCAGTAGTTAAGTATAAAGATCCCCATCAGGTTTTTACTCATATTATTAGCCCACCACCCTTAATTTTTATATCTGTAAGCCCTTTTGTAAGTAGCGATTGACTTGCATGTAAATTTTTAAAAAAACTGTTGATTTTTTCACAATCACTGATTAATTTTTTTATACTTTCTAATTCAACTAAATCAGCTGCAATAAGGTTGATGGCATATGCAACACATTTAACATTTCAGATATGTAGATATATTTGTTGTGTCTTTTTATACACAACATTATAGTTTGATGCTGCATCTGTTACAACAGCTATGAATTTGTCTGAACCAAGTTCTTTAATAACTTCTGATATTTTATTTGCCAAAAATTCGCCAGTGTAAGATTGATTTGAATAGTTTTTTAATCTAACTAAATATTCTTTTTGAGTATCTGTTGTAACTATATAATTGTAGATTGAATCCATTGATAGTGATATCTAACCATCTAAAGCTTTATAAAATTTAATAAATTTAAAGCTTAGTAATTAAAAATTATTACTTAAAAATGATTATTTTAGAGAATGTAAAATTTTATCTAAAGCACAAATAATATTTAATAATACTGTACTAACCTACTGCTTTGTTTATCCATGCTAATTCTTCATCAAACAATTGGTTTGATAAAGTCATTCTTGAAGGTGGGCTATATACAGGATTAAGCTCTATAAGCATATCTTGTATAAATAGATTGTCAATAACATTAAAAGGAATTCTCACCATTATCCAAGCTTTGATTATTTTTCGATCAAGCCGGTTAGTTATAGCTTTAAATAGTAAACGGTCTGATGCATGATAAGAAATCATTGTTGTTTGTGATATAGAATTTGGTAGAACACAGTTTTTTTTAGGCCTTCAAGTATAATTTGGATCTCTTTTTGCAACCTTTTCTCTCCTATATCTTCTGAACAATTAGCACAGTCGTTTGATAAATGTGCTTCTAGTTGTATAGATTTTTCTTGTGACCATTTTTTTCTGCAATAATTAAAAGTAGCCTCATAGTATTCATTGCTTTTTTCAGTTCCTTTGTTGAAGTAATCTTATACTTCAGAGAATGGATAAGATTGATGCTTATTCAGTGATATATTTTTTGAACTTGATAGATGTATAACTATCAAGGTTTGTGAACTAGTATCTGTCACTGCTATAATAGCTGTTGTTGTTTGATTGTCTTCAATTTCTGAATCAAATTTATTAGCATTTTTTAAAAAAAACCTATATCTTTTTCTTGAACTTTCATCGCTTGTTTCGCTTATTGCTATAAGCTAAAAATTTTAAATTCACGGAATATAATGATGAAATTTTTATATTTTGTATTATAATGATTATCTATGTTATACATTTACTATATCGTATGTTTCAAATTTTTTATCACTAACCTTATTTAAGTTTCAATTATTCGACTTTATGATTGTGCCTTAAATAATCTAGAAGGCTATATTATAATAGATAGGTGTTTTATTCCTAATTAATTCTTCAGACACCCTAACTTTTTTCAATCTTTTTGTTCTTAGCATTTAAATTTCTATATCTCAATCTTATTTATGTTAATATTGCAGTAGTAATATTCATTTTTGAATTTGGTTTGTATTTATTCGACTCATATATAGTAAGTCTGGTAAATTTTTAAATTCATATTTTCTAATTTTTACACACATAAAAACAATTTTATACTTAGAGATACTACTGTATTTACAAAACAATAAATTAAAATAATAGTTATTCTATATTTAAATATGTTGTCTAAAAGAATAGATAATTTTTTTTTAAAGCTATTAATAAATAAATTACACAGGATAGTAATTTAAAAATTTAACAACTATATTTATACAATTATCTCACTCTTCAATTTAGTATAATAAACTATGATATAATGTTCATTTTTTTAATTCATTTATCTGCTATTGTTTTTATTTTCTTTTATATAAAACAATCTATATGTTACAAACAAAAACCTGCTATTGGACCACTTTAATTCTATGATTTAATAGTCTTTTTTTTTTCACTTACTTGATTCTTTATGTATAGGTTTTTTAACCTCCATGTTATCTGCTAGTTTATTTGATATAATTGTTTAATGGCTACAGGTACCTTGTGTTAGTGTTATATATTTTTGATATCTATAGCTTTTTTGACCTGTTTTATTCATAATACATATTATGCATTAGTATACTGTAACTTCATACATTAAATCAAGTTGTAGTAAAATATTGAATACTTTATTTATTACAAATAACATTTTTTACATTATATACATTATGTATGTTCATATGTATATATATACTATGGTATTAACACAAACTGCTACTGCTATGTATAATAACAAAAATAAAAATCTTGTATGCAACTAAAAAGGATTGTTGTGATTTTATTGATTAATAATTGTGGCAGATTAAAATGAAATCGGATTAAAATGAAATTTTTCTATTTTTTTAGGAAAATTTGAAATTTTTTGGGGGACATTTTTTAGGGTTAGGGTTAATGTTAGAGTTAGGATTTAGAGTTAGTTTTATTAATAAAAGAGTATAAGTGGGTTTTATAAGCTTTAAAGATGAGCAAGAAAGGTCACCAGTTTCATTTTAATCTGATTTCATTATGATCTGCCACAATAATTGGGTGCTGTAATACGTTGTATATTATTAGACTACTTAGAATATGCATTTAGTGCATTTTATTATATATTATAATTCATTAAATATCTGGTAATACAAAGTAAAATGAATTAAGCAAATTGTATTTCTTGTTTGAAAGCATTACATTACTACTATTCTTTATTACACTAAAGTTTTTTTGTAGCCAATTTTACTTAAATATATGAAATTAAAAAAATGGCTCTATAGCATAATAGAGCATTTCAAGAGGAACCCAAAATTATATTTTCATCTGCATAGATACACTAGTTCAAAAGTAGTACATAAAAACACATATATACTTTTTAATTCCAGAAAAATTTTAGGCTCTAAATAGATTGATTATTTTATATACTACATATATGTAAAATATATCACAAACTCAAAAAGCATAGATCTGACTAGTTATGTAATTGGAAGAATACTGGCTAGCCAAAGATACCAGAAATAAATTTATTAAAAAACTTTAAGTCTGCAGAATACATTGTGAGTGATTTGAACTGAGTAATTTGAGCAAAGTAATTTGAACTAAAATAATGATAGGCTTTTGCAAGTGAGATTATATCCAGATATTATCATAACAATGAAATGAGTAAGAAGCAATATTAGCTAGTGGTTTCCTGCCTGCTCGAAGCAGGCTGCTGTTAAATAGAAAAATGGCAGAATCTGAAGATCCCTATGTGTGATGAGATGAGTTGAGTCAAGAAAATGATAGTTATAATGCTTAGTTGTATTGCAAGAGGAAAAGAAGAATATTGATAGTGATTTATTCTTATTCTTTATATACTGATTAAGATTGATAGCTTTTCTGTTATATAGTTGTATTCACATATAGTTAATCAATTTCTGACTTGCAATATTAGGCAGAGTTATAATATATAGTGTGTAACCTTAATTACTCTCCTGTCTTTTTGATCAGTTGACTCTTGTTAACATGTATTATAAAAGTTTAAAAAAAAGCATTTATAATAGCATTTGGAACAGTATATAAAAAATGACAATAAAATACATATTGCATATTTTGTTTAATAAACTTTACTGAATGTGAATAACTACTATATAAAATACAATGCATATATTAGTAAAAGTGCAAAATTCCCAGTATACTTAGTATCATATGTTAAACATTTTATTCAAATCATAGTATATAAATTTAGTTCAATTGAATCATGAATAATAAACTTTTTTGCAGTTTTAGTAAGACATTCATTCTATCACCAAAGAATCTATACCACATATATTTGAAGTTAAGATATACTGCAATTCAAAAAAAAAAAAGAAACTTCAACAATGATACAATATGCACTATTGTTTAAGCAGAGGTTTTTATGAATCTTAACTACAGCTTTAAAATTATAAGAGTTGTGTATTTAGAATATATCAATGACATGATTAGAGATTAAGCATATTTAAAAAGTCCCAGATAGATTATATAATATATTTCAGGTAATATACTATAGTAATTTCTACTTTGGTCTAATCTCTGGCTATTTCGCGATATTTTATTAATTCACTGCTCACATAAAAATAAGGTGAGGTTAAAATCGATAAAGAATTCTGCAAATTGAAAAAAGTAGAATAGTTCTCTATACAACAATCTTATCATTTCCCTAATTCATATAGAATAGAGAAAAGATAATAGTAACAAGTATTGAAAAGATATCAAAAACTACTATTATGTAAAAGAAATATAAAGAGTCTTTCATTGCCGCTGCTTATACTATATTTCATATTATCGTTTAACCTAATATTATTATAAATCTTATTAAAATAAATATTATAAATATATATTTAATCTTGTGTCTCATTAATTTTTTAATAAAGCCAAATTTTGGTTTTATATATAAATTATAGAAGAAGACAGTTTACTATTTCCACTAGTCTAGTCATTCGATGAGTTATTTACTAGCCAACCAAATAGTCTGATATTAGAAGGTACAAATGATATAAATGAAAATGAAACATCTGAAAGATTAGAACACATAGATAGATCAAATTAAAAAAAGTTACAGAAGAAATATTACATATAGCACTTGTATCATATTGAATGAGTTGGGTAAAAAATATGATATACAAATTAGAGTTGTGGGGGATCAACTTTGAATCTAATATCTTATTTATGGCAAAGTCATAGTATTAGAGAGGATAAAACTACATTATACGGATCAGATGATGAATAGTTTTTTTTAATAAAATTATTTCTATAAGAAATTATATAATATTTCTTTAAAATCAAACTCCTATCTGTATAATAAATCAAAATGTAATTTCTTATCTGTGATGCTCTATCAATCAAATCTTGTATCAAATTCTTATTTTCGTAAATTTATAAAGAAATTAAACCCAAAAATGCTGGTGAAATAAAATTAGAGTAATGAAATGGTTTCACTATTAGTAAACTGGTATTGAATTGGTAAAATTGGTAAAACTAATTTTAATGTCTTTAATAAACACAATATTTAGCTTGCCTAATGAAAAAACATGCTAGGCAAAATAATTCATGTGTTGTATAATTAGTTTTCTAAAATTATGTATGAAAAGCTCAAAAAATTCTACATATAACCGATCTATGGACAGCCCATAATAGATAAGATACCTTGAAATTATTTGCCTATAGCTTGATTCTGTTTTCAAGATCATGATGCATTCTTTCTTTTACATAATTTAGATAACCTTATATTACAAATGTTATTCACGAAAAATTCAATATTACTGATGATGAGTTCTAGCAAGGTCAAACAAAATCTTTTTTATGATTTTAAAAAAAAACTGTATACCTATTTTATTTTTTTGCTTCATTCTTTTTTTGTATGAAATATCTAAATAATTTGTGTAAAATTAACTAATTTTCATTAAAAATAAAAATAAAATATATCAAATTTAATTCATAAACAAAATCTACTTCAAACTGATCCATAGTTTTGAAATAATGTATCTAAAAATGCAAGTTAGTAAGATCCCAACTAGAAGTAATAGAAGAAATAAAATTAATATCAGTTCAGTATAGTAAGTGTTTGAAAAAAATATCTAGTTAGCATTGCAGTATACAAGTAGTGATAAAGCCATGTTAGTCATATCTAAAGATATATGAATGCAAGTTTTTTTGGTTTTGCATTACTTAATGAGTATTATGTCATATGCATTATGAAATTCTGTATAATATACTATGGCCACCCTAGTAAACAGACTTTGTGGATTTGAAAATATAAATATGTATTAGATTTATATTGCTATATAATGCATACGACACATCTCTAGTCATGTTATACTATATTATTACATTAAATTACTTTAGTTACATTATACTATACTAGTTAAGTTATACTACACTAGTCAAGTCAAATTACTTTAGTCATGTTATACGCATTTACTAATTTCTCCCCCAAGTTTTGATTGGCTGAGATTATTTGTGCCAATTTACATGTCACCTTCTGATTAAAATGTGACACCTCAGTTAGGGTTTGGGGTTAGGGTTAGTAGGCGACATTATACTAAAATTTTGCAAGGAATTTTTTTTGTTAGTGCATAAAAGGTGATTTCTTAGGCGAAATTTTGTGATAAGGGTGATTTTTCAAAAAAAGCGATTGTTGTTTTGATCGTCACGTTATACCTGATCTTGCATTTTGATTGGTCAATATCGAAACTTGGGGGAGAAATTAGTAAACGCATATTATACTACACTAGTCAAGTCATACTATACTAGTTAAGTCATACTAACTAGTCAAGTCAAATTACTTTAGTCACATCATACTACACTAGTCAAGTCATACTATACTAGTTACGTCAATACATCAAATATCAAATATTATATCACTTGTATCATATCAATATAATATCTAGGGTAGTACATCCTCTATATCATAGACACAATGACATAGGTAGTAACTACTTTTAAGAAATATTTGCATCTTTACTTCTAATAGAGGTAAGCTGTTTTGTTCACTTTTTTTGAAAATTTTGTTAAAAGCACAAGTGAGTAATAGTAAAGAGTATAGCTCTGAACTTTTTTTAAAAGAGAGTATATATTTTTTCAAAAATAGTAAGACAAGTAGATTTAAGCATACTGCTGATATTTTTTTTTGTAAGTGATAAACTCTAAACTTGTTAGCAAGTAGCATATAAAAACTACTTCTAAATAACAAGTACCATCTCTATAGTGAGTAATAAGCTCTAAACCTATTAGCAAGTAGTATATAAGAACTATCTCTAAATAATAGACACCAGTTTATAGTTCTTATTAGTTTTATATCCTTCTTTTTCACCATAGTTTTACTATTTTTGTTGAAAATTTTTGTCTTAAAAAGTTGGTTCAAATAATTATTAGGAAGAGTTTGTTAATTATATTTTTGATTAATATTGTTTAGATTATTATTTTAAAATATAAACATTTTTGTAATAAAAATCTAATCTCTTT